AAGCCGGGCGCTGGTGGCTCATGCCTGTAATCCTAGCTACTCAGGAGGCTGAGATCTGAGGATCCCAGTTCAAAGCCAGCCCGGGCAGGAGAGACCGTGAGACTCCTAGCTCCAATAAACCACCAGAAAACCGGAAGTGGCACTGTAGCTCAAGTGGTAGAGTGCTCGCCTAGAGCTGAAGAGCTGAGGGACAGCGCCCAGGCCCAGAGTTCAAGCCCCACGACCGACCAAAAAAAAAAGACAAGCAGCTAAACTATCCCTTTCTCTTCTCAGGCCAAGGAGCTTACTATGGCCAACTGAATAAGCCAGAGTGAAACATTGCTGATAACAAGCAAACTCAAGGTCTCACATGGTGAGGATCAATGAAGAATGTTTCATGTTTCCCCAGACTGCTCCTAACAGCAGCTCATCCACCTCTGTGCCAGTCAGTTTTTGTTACTGTTCTGTTTTGTTTTGGGGGGAGGAGGGAATGGGATCAGAAGCAGCCAGAAATCCTCACAAGAAAACTCCTACAACTTGGCCTGCTGTCTGAAGTCCTACTAAACTCAGACAGGCAGACCCTAGATGGCAGAATAGAACTGGGTTTATGAGATCAACAGTGTCCAGTTCAGCCAAGCCTCGGCAGAGCACACATAGACATCACCCATTGTGGCAAATTGGTATAGTGGATGCTTACCCATTATATGCATGGAGCTCAGCATCCAAATACTTTTCCTACTTGTTGGATATCTTATTATGTCCATCCTGGGAAGCAGAGCCCAGCCCTCTACTACAGAAGCCAAGCAGACCAGATCTGCCTTCTCTCTTCCTAATAGCTAGAACCATGACACGTGAAATGAGGCCATCAACTAAACAACAACAAAGCAATAGTTGATCAGTTCTCCCAGAGTCCCTCAATACTGTGGGCCAAACATACAGTGGGCACAGTGCCAAGCGGGGTGTTCAAATCAGCTGACCCTGTTCTGTGGTTTTGCCTGGGCTTTCCATTACTTCCCTACCCATTTTTTCAACTTTTCTGTAAATTTTATGAATTATCCAGTATGGTTCCAAATTGTAGTACTACTCCTATTACTTTAAATCTGTGTGATCTTGTGCTTGTTACATGAATTTGGTAAGCCTCAGTTTATCTAGCTGTAAAACAGGTGTTTTGTATCTAGTCACAAACACTGCTGTAAAGATTAAGTGAGGTAATACACAGCAGTCAAGACAATGGACAAAGACAAGAGTCAGGACTAGGCTACTTCACCTGTTTTAGCAGCTGCCATTGTCTTTAAACCAGTGAAGTATTTGTTTTTTAATGCTTTCACTATCCAGGCAAAGGGCCAAAAAACTGAAAAGTCTGGAACATTGAATAATTCTCACTCCCTCCTGCAATCTCCCATGCAGAGCTCTCCATTCACTAATTTTTATCAGTAAAGCTGAAAATTCAGCAAGTTTCTATTTGCATCCTCAAATCTGACTGGGTTAAATTCCTATAGTTTAAAGAAGGAGTGGTATATTTCTCTGCATTAAACAAGATTTGCCACCTATTTGAAGAGAGTTTGATGTCTACTTACTAGGGAAAAATCTTTCCCCAAAACTTTATCTTTCTTTCTCGTACCTCAGCAGGAGGTGGAATCAGAGGTACAGACAGAGTAAGGCCACATCTAGAACCAAATGTTTTTCCTCCCTTTGTAAGGACTTCAAGAAAAACAAAAGCTGGGTGTGGTGGTGCACCCTTGTAACTTCAGCTACTCAAGATGAGAAAATAGTACAACTGAACAAGAGGAGGCTAGCCCTGGAATTCTGCAGCTGACACTGTAACTATCGGCAGATGTCAAAAAAGGCAAATGTTATTGTCTGACACTGTTACCCTACAATTTAAAATTGTTCTTCAAGGTTTCTTTAGTTCCTGTTGTTTTACTTCACCCTGGAAACAACCTTTTATCTCCCTTAGAATTTCTGCACAGCAGTTTCACAAATGTTTTATAATAGTTTTTGGCCAAAAGTAATGAAATCTAATCCTGCTGTCATTTAAAAATCATTTTTTGGAACTTTTTAACTCTCCCCCTTCAAGCTTTCCATTTGCACATAAAGAAAATTATACTCTCTTCCCCAGCTTCCACCCACATGGCCATTATTAAATGAATGTGAAGCTTTATTAGAGACTGATAGAAACACATTTTTCTTTCTTTTTTGCTATTTTCCAAATTACAAAGAATGTTCACTTTCTGTAACAAGACTACTAATACAGTTGAAGATTTTGATTACTTCTTTCAAAAAATGAGATTGGGTGTGGGTGTGTGTATACTCTAAAACTGGAATTTGAACTTTGGAGCTCTAAGTCCCTGGTCCTAAAGAAATCTGAGAAAAGCCTGTAATCCTAGCTACTCAGGAGGCTGAGATCTGAGGATCACGGTTCAAAGCCAGCCTGTGCAGGAAAGACTGTGAGACTCCTATCTCCAATAAACCACCAGAAAACTGGAAGTGGCGCTGTAGCTCAAGTGGTAGAGCGCTCGCCTTGAGCTGAAGAGCTGAGGGACAGCGCTCAGGCCCAGAGTTCAAGCCCCACGACAGACAAAAATAAATAAATAAATCTGAGAAAGAAACCTAAACAAGCCTCAAAACTGAGTTTTGAGATTTCTAAAGAAGTATTTGTTTATACACAATTTACTATTTCTAACAATGCTTTCTTTTCCCTGATAACCGTTTCCATGGGCAACTGTCCAAGCGACACTGTGAGATCTGGTAGGCCACATATGTGGCCGTGATAGTCACTGGATATAAGTGAGGAAGTCAAAGAAAAGACATGTTGTGCAACTCCTCTGGATGTTCCCTTCCTCCCTACAAAAAGATGGATTCACTAGAATCCTGTGAGAAATAACGAAAGAAAGATTGCTTTTCTGGAAAGGAGTTTCCAGTTCATAGCAACACGCACACACGCACGCACGCACACACGCACGCGCGCGCGCACACACACACGCTAAATTAAGATTAACGGACATAATCATCTCTCTTGGGGACCTCAACAGGAAACAGAGCTACAACAAGCCTTAATAGTTACTGTGGAATTCCAAGCAGTAATGAATAATGTTCCTTTGTCATGGGGCCTGGCTGTAGGACTGCTGACGTTTCCAGTTTACCTTATTTGCATACAGAGACATATATTCATGATCCCATCATGTAAAGGAACCTAGTCATCACTCTCCCTTACCACCTCGAAAAGCCTTAGCATAATGGGGTTTAACAGCCAATAATAATGAGCCTAAAACAGAACTGGTGGACAGTAGCTGTGCAAAAGCAGACTTGGTAGTGGTCCCCCAGCCACTGGCCTAGAAAAGAACAATGAAGATGGTAATATAAAAGATAGTCTGAGCGAGGCGCTGGTGGCTCACGCCTGTAATCCTAGCTACTCAGGAGGCTGAGATCTGAGGATCGCCGTTCAAAGCCAGTCAGGGCAGAGACTCTTTTTTTTTTTTTTTTTTGGTCGTGGGGCTTGAACGCTGGGCTTGGGCGCTGCCCAGCTTGTGAGACTCTTATCTCCAATAAACCACCAAAAAACTGGAAGTGGTACTGTGGCTCAAGTGGTAGAGCACTAGCCTTGAGCTGAAGAGCTCAGGGACAGCACCCAGGCCCAGAGTTCAAGCCCTATGACTGACCAAAAAAAGTTTGCCTGGGCACTGGTGGCTCACGCCTGTAATCCTAGCTACTCAGGAGGCTAAGACTGAGGATCGAGGTTCAAAGCCAACCACAAGGCTGGGCACCTGTAGCTCACATCTGTAATCCTAACTACTCAGGAGGCTAGATCTGAGGATCACAGTTCAAAGCTAGCCTGGGCAGGAAACTCCATGAGACTCTTATTTCCAATTAACCACTAGAACACTGGAAGTGGTGCTGTGGCTCAAGTGGTAGAGCTCTTGCCTTGAGCTGAAGAGCTAAGGGACAGTGCCCAGGCCCAGTCAAGCCCCATGACTGAAAAACAACAACAACCACCACCAATAAAAGCCAGCCCTGGCTGGGAAGGTGGCTCAGTGGTAGAGTGCTTGCCTTGCATGCATGAGGCCCTGGGTTCGATTCCTCAGCACCACATAAGCAAAAAGAAAAAAGCTGGAAGTGGTGCTGTGGCTCAAGTGGTAGAGTGCTAGCCTTGAGCTGAAGAGCTGAGGGACAGCGCCCAGCCCAGAGTTCAGGCTCCACAACCGGACCCCCCCCCAAAAAAATAAATAAAATAAAG